TTTTTTTCTGCGACAGTGTACGTAGATTTTCACTGATCCCGTCCACACGATCGACTGCTTCAGCCTTACTGTTGTCCTAATGAAAATAATCACTTATAGGAGATACGTGTCTACCTGCCTTTGTTCTGCCCAAAGACACAGAATCCATTTTCTCACATCACTCAGATAATTATTTGTATTCATTTATGTACTTTTATGTTACCCTCCTGTGATGTATTATGTTACCACTCAGCTACTGATGTACCTGTATTATTTTTTTAAGTGTATGACACTGGTTCGAGTGCACTGCTGAAGAAAAACACGTTTGTTCTCACGTGATGCGTCTTTCTCGCTGATCCCACCTCCTGTCATCTTCCCACTGTGTGCCTATCAAACTACACGGGAGTGGGGAATTATGGGAATGACATTATGTTTTTGGTGCTATTATTTTGTGGAAAATGACAACAATGCTATCAATACTGATGCCTGTATTTGGTGCCTTTTTTTAGTAATAAAAAATAATCTGAAACTCAGCAAGTTTTTGATTTAACTTTTATTTATTATTATTAGATTCTGCTAATGAACCATAAAGTTAAAAGATTAAAGATTAAAGATTAAACCACATTTTGTTCTTGGACTCTGCTTGAGTTAGCTTAGCATGATTCAAAGTTCATAATAATACTAAGGCCAGTTCATCCTCTGTCTGAAACAAGCCATCTTACCTCCTGTCTGTTTAAGGCAGGGATCCAATGCAGTTTACTTTGAGCCACATACAGCTACTTGATTTTAAGATAAACTATTCCTCAATAACATTTTAAAACCTAAAAACTGCAAAGTATTTCAGTTGTTTGAGTATGAATGAGTTTAACAACATGTTTGTTATAAAACTGGTGATGAAAATAATTGCAACTGTAAAAATGTGTTTGAGTTTTGTTCCTCTGTCGGCCAACACTTTCATAAATCAATGCATAGAGTTAGAAGCAGGTCATTAATTCACAAAAAAAGAAGTCCCATTACTTACTGAAGACTTATGACAGAGACATGAAATTTCTGATGAAGCTAAAGTTGATCTGGTATTAAATGAAGTACAAATAATTAAGAAAAACGTCCCTTTTTTGCAGTTTAATGGTTTATAATTTACTTATGGTCACAAAGAAGAAAGTAAAAATCCTCCTTTAGAATTAGATAAATACAAACTCAAATGAACAACAACACATGAGTCTATACTATTAACTTATATACTTAACAAAGATTAAGCTTAAATTCTTGGAGAGCCACTTTTAGCAGCAGTAAGTTGAAGTAGTTGTTTTCTGTGTGACTTTATAAGTCTCTCACATAATTGTGGAGGAACTTGGCTCACTTTTCTGTACAACATTGGTTCAGCTCATTGATGTTTGCAGGCCCTGATTTATGCACAACTCTCTCACTGTCCCATCACAGCATTTCACTGGGGTTGAGGACACAGTGTATTTATATATTGTTCACCTGAGGTTGTATTTAAATAATTTTAGAGGTCCAGATTTTCCACTTAATGAAGTTGAATTTTCTTTTTCATGACAGCTCTACTGGTGCAGTGTTTCAGGCCATGCACAACCTCTTCATAAGTGAGGCTGCTGTAAAAGAGACACAAGTGTGATTTTCAGTTTTTACATTTCCCAAAATGATCCAGTGGGCTGAACCTTTATGTCAGGCCAGTCCTGGGCTCCATGCTTTAAGCCACGTTTCTTCTCATTGGCCCTCATAAGCCACAGGTTTGAACAGCATGTGCTCAAAGCACTGTCTGCCTGCAATCACTATGTTAGAAATTCAAACTGAGTGTTTAAGGCAAACCTTTGGCTCATAGGGATTTACTTGTGTTTGTGTATATACTGACATCATTATGAGCGCACACCACTGGAACAGTAAGTTTGTGATAAATAAGGACAGAGATGGCAGCAATTACCTGCTGTGACATATTTTTAGTCAATAAAAACTGATTAAATGAGTTTTACTGATGTTCGCCAGGCTTGTCTTAGCATGTAGAAATGTCATTAAATTTACTTGAGTGACTTTAAAAAAGAGTTTGAAATTGAAAAAGAAAATATATCCTTTATTTTTTTTAAACACTTCACCAAATAACTTCATACTTGTATGAGAAGGAGGTCGGCTGTATAAGAATAACAGCAGCCTCTTATTTATTACTCTCCAAATTCAACACCAGCAGGACCCTGATGACAGCAGCCTGCACACCAGAGGCAAAGACCCGTCT